TGACATAAATAGTGATAATAGTAAATCAACAAATCGATTCCAGTTAGTGTCGAAGCACAGGTTAGACATAATTGTACCACTTACCATCATAGCATATTTAAAGGATTATCCTGTGCTTCAAATTTCCTGCTTTCCAGCATTAAAGATATCCACGATGTTGAACTAATACAACAATTGCAACGTTTCCGAACGAAGGTACAGAAAGGCACAATAGGTGATGAGTTTTATGTGACGGGGGTTTGGTGATGACGACGTACAAGCTAAACTTAAATTACGCTCTATAAATGTATTTCAGATATATGGTGGCTGAAGGATGATGGTGGTTTGACTCTGCTGCTACCGTATCTACTTCAGCAACCTGGAACTTATCTTGAAGTCAGTTTTTTATTATTTTATTTTACAAAATGTTTTACTGAAACTTTCACTTGCACTGAATAGACGTATCTCAAATACTTGTCTAGTCTTGCATTTGTTCACATTTGTTTCACCACAGCTAAAGGTGGTGAAATCAGCTTCCATGGCTATTGTTTCGGCGTCTTACGCCTTCATCAGCCTGTGTAAAAACCATTTTTTTTTAAAATTTATTCTCTCAAACATCTTCAGAGAAGGTATTCAATGGAAAAGCAGCCAGAATGCAAACAAGTGATCATAGCAGCAAGCTCCCACTTTGCGCCTTTCTGTCTGTAACTTCACAAGGCTACTCTACTAGCGACAGCTTAAATATCTTACTTGATTCCTGTTAAAGCGCTACTAACTTAGGTTCACGTGGTGGGACCGTCACAATCGTAAAAGATCGTGGCATTCTCTGCGATGTTCGCTCAAAGGGTTATCGTTGACTCCCAGGTGGTTGTAAATGGGCATCAATGTTTGGGTTCCTGAACGCGTGGACATCGGCTGGTTATTGATGTCCCATTCACAATCAACCGCGCCGCGTCACTGGCCGTAATGCCCTGCCCGCTCTATCCCTGGGAACCAAGGACATATATTCAGATTACGAAACCATTTAGATGTTTTTTGACTCGTACGCACAGAATCCTGCGCGTCCCCTGGGTACTGGTCCTGCATAATTGGCAAGTGATAGTATAAATCAGACCTGCTTCTATGCAATCGCCCGACCTTCCAGATGGACGGATAACGTAGCTGGTAGTTGTCTCTGACCTAGTCTTAAAGACATTGACTCTCTTATATTCTTGCCTGACTGGCTGAGATGAAAGGAACCCAGAATGGACTATTTAGGTTGGCCTTATGCGGCTTGAACTCTGGCAAAGTGGTAAGTCTGTACAGGTTTGCTGTTATAGGATAACCATGTTGTGATTTCATTTGCCAGTTTAAAAAAGCATTGCACTTGTGGGTAGTAGGCAAGATTGCCTTGACTGTTTTGAGCACGTTTTTTTTCCTGGCACCGACCTCTTGTTGCTAAGTTAACGGAGCCACCTGATTTTCCATTTTCCGACTTTATAGTCTGTTTCGATATGAAGTACGTAGATGAAAAAAGGTATGGCGCCCCATGCGCGCGGTTCGAAAATCATTGTGAGTAACCCGCAAGCGTGTTCAATCAGCGCACGCGGGAATGTGTGGCCTATAAAAACTCGAAACAGACTCTGGATGTAATGCAACAATAAAAGCAACTGTTCTAGATGTGAGATTCTCTCAAGACAGAAATCCTTGTAGTTATAATTTTACGTTATTTACAGCTGCAGCCCTCAAAAGCCTTGATAATAATTTTATTTCAGGGCGCTCACCTTCGCGTATTCGTCCCAGCAGGAACAAGGGATAGTGTTAAAGACGATCAAAAGCAGATGGCGGCACTAATGCAA